AGGGTGCCAAATTGCAAACAGTTAAAGTAGACTCCCTTTCACCTCAATATCTTATGTTGGCGTATGTTGGATTACTGTCGAGGAGCTCGGCTTGGTTCACATAAGGATCAGTTTTACAGTGATGAGCGACATGGAAATGCAAAATTCCCAGTACTTCTCAGGTATGTTATACAACCTAATGTTTAGACAAATCACCTTGCATATAACACTGTTAAATCGTTAAACCCATGTTTTCCAGGTTGGGTGGTATGGAGTGGTTTTATGTTAGATTACTGTCAAGGAGCTCGACTTGGTCCATATAAGGACCAATTTTACTGTTTCTTACAAACTTTTTTAATAGTATGAGACCTGGTAACATTAGACAGGATGGCAGTGAACTCCCAAGTGATGAGCGGCACAAGAATGCAAAGCAGTGTTCATTAGGATTGGGATTTGTTCAGGTACACAGCAATGATCTTATAGAGAATGTAACACTTCAGGAAGCACTAATTCCCAGTCTTTTTCAGATATGTTACATGATCTAGCAGCTAGATGAAATCACCTTCCATATAAAGCCATTAAATCATTCAAACTGTGTGTTCCAGGTTGGGTGGTATGGAGTAGTTCTTGTTGCAATTGCTTATTGGAAGAGAGAGAGTTTCTCAGTTCCTCAGCCATGAAGGATGCACCTCTATTCATCCTGGCTGAACTGAAAATTAGATCTAGGAATTCAAATACTGATGTCGTGTGCAGGTTTGGACATGGGAAGATGAATGAAAACTGTGAGTATTCGTTAATTACTACTTTTTTTTACCTACTCCTCTCTAACAAAATGTAGAGATTCAAGTAATTCCTGGGTGGCATAGTTTATTGTGAATGTCGGTGAGGGTTGAAGTGGTAATGGCTGGACAAGTGTAAGCTTGGCTAAATGTGTCAGGAACCACATTCTCTTTGCCAGGACGGTATTTTATCATATAGTCAAATACTGCAAGTTATAACCGCCACACCTGAATCTTGGCATTTTTAATTTTGGTACACCTTTTGTTGTTAAATATGAAGGCCACCGATTTTTGGTCAGTATATGAGGACCAGTCACTGCTGCTATTGAATTTGACAAAAGTTTGGACCATCATGTATGAGCGTAATGTCCGTGCTTTGAGCATCTTTTACTTGAGCAGGATAGGGAAATCCCTGGAAAAAGCATTACTACTACTAGTTTGTTAAGTTTGACCAGTGGTTTATAACAATTCTCACATACCTTTGTAGGTTCCAGGTTGACTATTGCTGCCAATTGAGCTTCTGAAGTAGTGTAAAAGTTGTTACTCCACTGGGCTAAGTCCAATGTAGAAGCTTGAGTATAAGCTGTTTCTACAACCAGAGTCTTATTTTCCAGGGGACACTACTGTATGGAATGGGAACCTTTGCCTGTAATAAAGGCATCTTGCATAGCTTCATTGCTGCATTCTTCAGCAGTATGGTCTTTGAAGTTGCAGTTCTTCCTCAACTTTTCCAACTCCCTGAAAAACTCATCCAGTGACTCTCTCAGATTTTGTCATCTCGTTGCCAACAGGTGCCTTGTAAAAACCTCATCTGGTGTTTTAATAAATAAGTTATCCAATTTTTGAATAACCATGTTGAAATCTGTACACCCTTCTATATATTTGAACACACTGAAATGCATACAGCAAGAAGGCCTGGTACTTGTTAGGAGCAATTCTTTCCTTGTAATCATTGAAATAGTTTAACAGGATGGTTTGTCAATGGTGATAATCTGTTGGTGAACAGGGGTCAATATCCAAGTGCTTTCACTTTCACGTCATTTCCATGTTCATTTCTGTATTCGTTTAGCTAAATAAATTGTGATAAGTAAAAGAAAACTCAGAACAGAAGTAATAGTACTAAGCTTTATTTAGCTAAACAAAACTTAGTTACAAAATAAAATGTGTGGAGGGGGAGTATATAGCCCATGTGAGTTAGTATACTGCTTGTACAACATGAGCGTAGGATACAACACTACAATTAATCAATAATACAGCATGGAATTAACTTGGAAAAAAAAAGAAGACAATAACAGAAATATAAGTACGAAAACTTTCCTTTATAAATATTAACATATGTTTTTAAGGCATCACCCATGAATATGTTCCATAGTATGAGATGTGAATGAGTTATTTGAAACTACATATTTGTTTCAAATTTCAACAAAAGATTGGACAAATTGAATGATGTTTGAATAAAAAGCAATGATAATTTGACAAAAGAGATCTACTCTTAATGTGTGTCATGATAATAAAAATAACAACACTAATAAAAAGACACAATGTTGCATTCTCAAACTCAGAATATTATTAAAAGACTCCTTTCAGCCTAACCAATGTTGGATGACAGAATAAATTCTGATCATTTGTTCAGATTTTGGGAACGGAGTCAGGTTGAAAATTTTTCATCACCCTCTTGTAATTCTGTTCATTTTTGTGGCTTTTCTTAATTACTCAGCTCTTTGTTTAGTTTTTAAAAATATATAAACCATTATAGATAACTGATGAAGAACTTGGTAATCTGTGGCAAAATTGTATTTCTTGATGTCATTAAACTAACGACACAATATCTAGTAAAAAAGACATTTCACAAAATTCAGAAGATTTCTTTTTTTTCTCTCTACATTTTTTATTGATTCAAAGACGTCACATTCTCTTGAATGACAAGAAACTATAATGAATGAACAATTACATTTGGATTTATTTCTCACTCTCGTTACATTCTGTTGCGGTAAACCCTCCTACAGTAGAATGAACTCTTCCTCCTCTCATAAATACTAACTGCAAGAGTCGATTGGGGAGAGTAGACACAGTGTTAACCTACCGTTCGGACGTACACCTCTATCTACTTATTACTAACACTATTGTTTTGTATATATCTTCAATATAATTTTTCAACCTACCTTCGTCTTCCGTGTCTTTCTTTCTGGCCCCTAAACAGGCCACAAAATATTGTTCAAATTCCTATTTAATCCATGAATATAACTACTTCAGAATTAGACCACACTTGTAATCTTTATCTTTTTTGGAACTTAACATCTCAGTTGATATTTTCTTGAGTTTTCATATACTGCTTCAATTCCAAGATTGAGGGTCAGCTTTTTTATTATTATTACTTGAGTTTCATTTTTGTTTTTAACATTCCAGTTTGTATATTCTTCAACATTTTTTCATTGTTTCAGCATCAAGTAAAATGTATTTTAAAACAAGATGAAGACTTGTTTAAAAAAAAAAGAAACAGAAAAGAAAATGTGGAAGTCTTTAAGCTCAAAATCTCAGGCTGGTAGTCAATGGTTAAATTTCCAGGATTTATTTTAATTCTAAATAAAGTCAAAAATTAAATCAATATCAAAAGGAGCTAATCAATATTTTCTGTATTGAGAAGACAAAAACAATCCTTAGAAAGGTAACATTTCCAAAGACAACTTAGAAATTTTCTTGAGAAGATGTTTGCAGACATTTGGAAATAAAAAAATTCAGATTAAAAGAGAAAAAAAAAAGAAAGAGAAAAAAAAAAGAAAGAGAAAAAAAAAGAGAAAAAAAAAAAAGAAAAAAAAAAAAAAGAAAAAAAAAAGAAAGAGAAAAAAAAAGAAAGAAAAAAAAGAAGAAAATATGCAGTAACCAGGTATTGAACTCACAACTCTTTGGATACAATCAACACTTTTATCCCTCTTGCAACGTGTCTTTGAGGACATCAGTATATGAATTTTTAGAACTTATAAACAGTTTTTTTTTTTACCAGAGATCATATTGCAATTTTGTTGTTATTGCTTTTCTCTAGCATTTCATGTAATTAGAACAATCTACCTCAGTGGACAAAATAAAGGGTTCAGTTCAAAATTCCAATCACCTGAAGAAGGCTGGAGTGTACAACGGCTGAAACATTGTAAATATGGCAATAAAGATGAGGACAACAGCCCAAATAATGTAAATAATTACAATATCTCATCTCAATCCATGATAATCTGAAATAAATGCATCTCTTCTAAATAAAGGCATTTCTCATTTTCAAATAAAGGCATTTTATCTGATTAATGACGCGCAATATTTATTTGATATTCCTAAGTGCCCACTCATCTAGGTAGTGAACAGGCTCAACATTGCTTAACTTCGGTGATTGTACAGCAACGTGTTTCAATGTTAACTGACAGAGAAAGAACACATAAGTATAAATTGAATTACAAGTTTAAAAAAAACAAAAAAACTCAAATCTAATTTGCTTGAAATAAGGTGCTCTATTTTCAGGAAGTAAAAGCCATTTATTACATTTATTAATTTAATTGTGGACGTAAGTATTATGGTTAGTAGTTCAGAACATGAAACTGGAAAGCTGTGTTCGAATGTGTCGAGTTTGTTGCATTCACCTTCATGCAAATAAGGTATGAATCAGCTATGGGTATTGTGGAAGGAAGGTGTCACTTTTCAAATTCATTAGTGTGTGTCCAAAGTTCAAAGGTTGGTTCCATAATTAAAGTTTTAACATTATTAGCAAACACTGATGTGAATGATCAGTGACCAAGAAACAAGAAAATATTGACTTTTAAACATTCATTTAAATAATTAATTTTTTTTCCTATGTATTTTTTAAAAACATGCTGAATTATGTGCACTATTTACATTATTCAGACTATTGTCCTCATCTTTGTCGCCATATTTATTACAACGTTTTGGCCATTGTACGCTCCGGCCTTCTTCAGGTGGTTGGAATGTCGAACTGAACCCTTTATTTCATTCACTGGTGTAGACTGTTCTAGTTCCATGTGCCATGTCTAATGGATGTCAGTTATCAGTTATCTTCTGTTAATTCCCCTCACTAAGTTCCGAAATGTAATAAATATGGCGACAAAGATGAGGACAATAGTCTGAATAATGTAAATAGTGTGCATAATACCTCATCTTAGAAATATAGAAAGATAATGCTGAATTATGTACCAATTCTGAATTTTCAAATTCCTACAAAGCTGAAGTGATAATAAATCTTACCAAAATAGGTCAACCAAAATCCTTGGAAGTTGCATAGTGGTCCATCAGGATGCAGTCCACCCTGAAAAAAAACAAAAACACAAAAAACATTCAGATTATTTTTGAAGTGGATTCTGAGGATGAGGATGGATAAAATAACTGAATTTCACAATGCCTGAATAAATAAACAAGCGTTAAACATTGGAGACATTTTAAGGCTTTCAATCACTGGCACTTCTGTTAAAAAAAATAAAATTTCAAGAATAAGTTAGCTGAATTCTGAAGAGGTTGGAGGAAAGATTTTAAAATATCAGAAGAATGGAAATAGGTCAAGGAAATAGGCTGGAATTATTCAGAAATTAGCAGAAATGGAAGGAAAAGAATTTCTTTAAGCGTTAGATTTCTGTAGAAAAAAATGGTGATGGAGGAGGGATCAAAAGTGCAGTGCAGTACTCGCTGACAGGCCAGCTAATTTTCCTTCTTCAGTCGCCTCAAGGAAATAGATTGCGTGGCTCCCTTTCTTGGTCATTACACTGGACAGTCGTGAAACAGACACCAACTCAGCCGTACCTACTTCGACTTCCTCTTTGTCTGTCTGTCAATCCACACATCCAGCTCTATTGCACGCTGTCCGCCGAATGACTTCAGTTCTGTCGTGCTGCTGGCAGCCCACTTTTTATGCTATTCCAATACGCCCAAAATTTGCATGCGTGCAAATATCGTCTTGTTTTGCATGAGATATGCGCGCATAAATTGTGTCTTCAATAGCGGTCATATTTCTTTTTGTCATCACTTTGCAGGCAAGACATGTTCGCGCTCGCCTTGAATTCTGAGGTAAGTTGAGTCTTTTGTCACAATTTCCAATGGAAAAATGTTCCTATTCCTTGTGTTGCGATAAGAAACTGCTAAAAATTAAAAAAAAAATCTAAACAAAATGTATTTCAATGAAGACCAATCTTGAAGGCTTTAGTTTCGCTTCTTTACATTTGCTGTTTATATTAAACGCCAGATACGAAATCAGATTTTCACAGAGACAATGCATCAAATTAAGATATAGATAAATTCCTGGATATCTAAACACATCTATAAATTTAGCCAATTAAATTATCTGATAGATTTTATCAATCTCCAAGACTGTTCTAAAGTTACAATAGAGTCTTCTCAAGAGAGAAAATAGGTTAAATTTCTGTTTTCACACGGTGATAAGTGAATCAGAAAATAAAAAACATCAGTGAACGTAACAAGTTTCTATTACACAAGATAAATATTGGTTAACTTGCTGATTGGTAACCAAAATGGCTGATCAAATTCTAAAACTTATGCAAAAATAAAAAAGAAGATAACATTAATTCCTTCAAAGTAAATAGAAAAACAAAAAAGTACAAAAATATTCAATATAATGCACCAAATTCAGTCTGAATTTCTAGGATGAAGAATTATCATTATTTTGATTATTTACACAGATTCGATTATTGTCTTTATCTTTGTTGTTATTATTGCAATGTTTCAGCCATAGTTCTGTCTGGCCTTCTTCAGATGTCTGTTAATCTAGGTAACCTGAAGGGATTTAACTTAATTGTTCTTATTCTGCTGACCATGTCTAGGGATATCATGTTTTGTTCTTATTTAGTACTGCTCAGTTATTGCTTGTCCTCTTTCTACTGAGTCTAAGCCTGTACTAACTAATTGAAGTCACAATTACAATTATTTACATTTTTCGGACTGTTCTCCTCATTTTTGTTGCTATATTCACAATGTTTTGGCCTTTGTATGCTCTGGCGATTGGAATTTTGAACTGAATCATTTTTTCATCCTAGTTTTTTCATTCAAGTTCCATGTGCTATACCTCTTAAGGATTTCTCAGTTATTTCCCTTTAACTAAACTCTCCAAGATTTTGTTCACCACTGCAGTAGCCAGGTATTGAACTCACAACTCTGGATCCAACCAATGTTTTTCTCCACTGAGCAATGTGTCCTTGAGAACATCAGTGTATGAATTTTAAGGACATCAAATTTTTTTTTTTTTTTTACCAGAGCTCATATTGCAATTTTGTTGATGTCGTTCCTTTTATTTAGCACTTCATGTAGCTAGAACAGTCTAACCTGGTGGACAAAAAAAAGATTGTGAATGTGGCAATAAAGATGACGGCAACAGTCTAAATAATGTAAATAATTACAATATCTCATCTGAGAAATATAGACAGATGTCACAATTACAATGTTGTCAAGTCCATCGAGCAACACTTTAATCCACTTCGCCATTGTCTCATGGGACAATCCTGAATCTAGAATTTGGTGACTTAAACCCAATGTTCTTCTATCCTGCTGATGTTGTTACACTTGACTGCATTCATAGACACCTGAAGAAGGTCGGAGAGCACAATAGCTGAAACATTGTGATGATGAAGATGAGGACATTAGTCAAAAAGTAAATAATGTAAGTAAATAATAAGCCACCAAGTTCCAATTATATAAGAAAATCAACCATATAGTCATGTGACAGTTTAAACAGTTAAAAATGAAAAATTCAAATAAAGAAAAAGTATTATTAGTTTCTGAATAAAACTGAGAAATTCATCAGTTGAAATTGCAGAAAACAAGGGAAAAATTATAATGGGTCCCAATTATCTGAGAATATAGCTTTAACAGGATGTAATTAGAAACCTACTTAACATGATAATATGTGGCATGAGTCAAATTTTAATGTTCTCCTTTCTCTTTCCAATATATTGGAAACATTATGTAGTTTCAAATTAACATTCAAACATTAACAGTTTCAAATTTAACAGAGGAAATGAAAAGGCAAGCCAGGCATAGAGCTCTATCATCCACAGTGAACTGGAGGATCTTCATGTTTAAGGTCAGAAACAAGATTGACACATATGGGAGAGACATAACATCTGTGGCTGAGAGTAAGTATTTTAAACAGTCATATGTAGTCAGAATGGTTGAATTTTTCCAGTAGGTCAAAGACATCTTTAAAGGTTATCATGAAGCAACTCAAGTGACAGAGTCCACTATCAAATATAATGGTAAACAAACACATCTGGTACAATTCCTGCATAAGGAGGATGCCACCTTGGAAGTGATGGTCAACATGAAAACCACCTTTGATCATGGTATTAAATTCTTCTTAATGCCATCTGTGAAGCTGAGAGTAGTTTTATGATCAAAATTTTTCTAAGTCAAATATATGTACATTTTTTTGGTTTTTGTTTGAAATAAACTGATCTTTCCTATTGAAGATAATTGCCTGATGTAATCTGTATTCAAATTATTTTTGCATGATAGATAATTTCTTTACAGTTTGAAAATTCTTTCATCATATATATAGTTAGCACCATTGTTAGACTAACAAGTAATGAAACGAATCCATTTCATAATTAGTCTGATTTTAGGCTGAATTAGTTACATCTTTATTCTAACAAGGATCAAAGAAATATTCTGACCCCAAATGATTTTGCTAGTTTTTTTTTCCTCAGACTTTCCTGTACAAAACTGTCTTTCACACAGAGGAATTCTGCTGCCATTTCAGCAAATCCATTCATGAAAAGTTTTTTTGTCGAGGAAAAAAAAAACCTTTGAGTTGCACAATCGCATGTGAATGATTAAATCTTTTTGCGCTCTTTGCAGTTTTTAAGAAATCTGCAATCATTGTGAAAGTGAAAGTGAAAGCTGAAAAGAAAACTTCTGAGCTGTGTCTAGCTTTCATTCATCAAATGGAAAGATACACACAAATGAACGTAAAGCGCAGTTCAGGACCAAAGATCAGCAGAGTAGAGCCTAAAGCAAAAGGTCATGACGGGGATATGGTCAGTACAGTGAACAAGGCAAGAGTTCTTAGCTGTTTGATGGGGGAGGGGGGCCAGCATTTCTGATAAACTTGAAAACTTATCCTATCCAAGGATTCAAACTAGCCAGAGAATCAACATTAAGTGCTTTCTGCATGGTTGAAGCACCTCATTAAATTATACATATTCTAGTGTATGGATGTAGTCATTGTGTGTCTTTTTGTTGCATGAGTCAATTCAAGCAGACTTTTATTGCTAATCATGGATACTAATAGTGTTTGCAAGTGTATCACATAAAATGGAATGGTGGTTTGGGGCAGGGCGAGATAACTGGCTATTGTAAATTGCCTGTGGAAGGAAAGATTTCCATTTTAGTTGAATTAAATGGCTGAAATCTTTAGCCAGCAGTCAGGGTGAATATACACTTCTTTTGTCATTACCAAAATGAAACAAATATCAAGTCAATTGCAGTTAGAAGACTGGTGCAATACAATACCTCAACTGTATTTGACCCTGTAGCAGACTAACATCTGTAAACATTAATTGCAGCTGTCAGCATGCATATTTGGTGGCATTTCTTTCTCTTAGTTATCCTAACTGATCCAATTATTTGGGGGACAAATTTTTATTAATAAATACAATTTCCAAGAAGGGCTTGTGCAACCCTGATCTATTCCTTTGCCCACTTACTCAAAATATTACTTTTGGATCTTAAATAAGGAGGGGAGGGTTAGAATAAATGTAGGGTGGGGGGATTCTAATAAGTCAGAGACAAGGTGAGAAAACCTGAGGATTAGGTAGGATTAATTTAGAATTTAGTTTATTTGAATGAAAATAAATGTGGTTGAGTTGGAATCAGTCTGAAAAGGGTGGAATTTATTTTAAAAATAGAATAAACAGGGGAGATACAATCATGACAAACCGAAGAAGATTACCTTTCCTTGGACCCCAAAAACAAATTTTATGATTTCTAAAAAGAATGGGGGTGAGAGTTGATGTACAGAAATGCATTCAGTTAATAGTAAATTTGAAATCCCTTAAATAAAGGGTGTGAATATATGTTAAGGAAAAGTGGAGAGAGTCAATCCAATTGAAAAGTACAACAGCTACAATTGGAGATCCATTCAACTGGAATTCAGAACACATGTCTATTTTTGATCTTAGTAGGGAAAAAAGCATTTTCGAAAGGTGATAGTGCAATAAATAAATAAGCTCTATGCAGTACACATGTGCCAAAGAAACATTCTATTTGGTGTCAATAGAAGATTGGTTTGGTTTGTTTTACAGCATATCAACCTCAATGGGTTATTTAATGCCGACAACTTTTTTTTCCTGGTAATATTTTGTTTGGTCAAAAATCTATTTCTGGTAATATTTTTTTACTCAAAAATGTATTGCTAGTAATATTTTCAAAAACATATTGCTCGCAATATCTTTTTTTTTTCAAAAACGTATTGCTGGTAATATTTTTTTCAAAAACGTATTGCTGGTAATATTTTTTTCAAAAATATATTGCTGGTAATATTTTTTTTTTCTTCAAAAATTTATTTCTGGTAATAATTTTTTTTACAAATTATTTCTGGTATTAAAACCTATATTTACACTTTTATAATGCTCATTATTTACATTATTTGGACTAATGTCCTTATCTTTCTTGCCATATTTATTACAACGTTTCGGCCATTGTACACTCCAGCCTTCTTCAGGTGGTTGGAATATTGAACTGAACCCTTTATTTTGCTCACTGGGGTAGACTGTTCTAGTTCCGCGTTTTTTTTTTTTTTTTTTAATGGATGTCAGTCATCAGTTATCTCCTGCTAATTTCCCTCTGAAAGTTCTCACTGCCTTAACTGGGTATTGAACTCACACTCTTTGGGTCCTGTCACTGGATCTAACCAATGCCTTTATCCACTGTGCCATGTGTCCTTGCTTTTTACCTCAGTTTCGAGGTTAACTATTTGCCCATAGCTGGGACCCTAACAGGTGCTACCACCCCCGGTCAGGGCGGACCTGGGAACACCAGCAATTAAGAGGTGGTTCCACATTCCTCAAAACCTCCCGATCAGAGGCTTTGCTGTTGGACGTAGTTTATCGTCTTACCCTGGACGCGGATGTAGTTTATCATCATACCCAGGACAAATATCAATAGAAGAGAAATTAACTTTCAGATTTATAGCTAAGCTCCTTCTACCTCTGGGCAGGTGGTAGGTGAGATCAAATTGATAAAAAAAAAAAAAAAAAAAAAAGAAAAAAAAAGTACATTTACTTATTTTGTTATGGGCAGAAAATAAATCTTTTGAACTTTCATTCAAGTTTAGATATCTTAGAATATTATGGATGAAAAACTTCTCTGTACAAGACTTGAGAACTTACCAAAATGACTAGTTAGAAAGTTAATATCAGATGTGTGCGTGCATGAAATATTTAGAATTATATCAGATAAAATTAATTACCCTACCCACCAAAAAATTTAAAATATTAAAACAAAATAACAAAAATTACAAACATCTAAAGAAAAAAGAAAAAATATTATATAGATAAATAAATAAACAGACCAACAGCACCATGTACCAAGAAACATTTTATTTGGCTAAATGTCTTGTCTTTTGGTAAGTTTGGTGCTGATTAAAGAGGAATTATCTTTCAGATTTATAACAAATAAGCAATGTATTGAAGATATATTCCCTTAGTATAGTATGTTAAGTCACTGGTTTCCAAATATGTCTGTTTGCAAGGATGATGAGCAAATCCCTGTTGTTGATGCCTGCACGGGCACATTTGTGCTTCTACAAAATCCAGAATATGATGAATGGACCTTACAGTTTCTGAGAGAGAGTGTATGATCAACAGTTTGAACAAGGCCAGTAAACCTAGACCGTCAGGCACGAAGACTTGTGACTTCATATTTATACAACCATCAATAACTTCTGAAGACTTTTGTCTACTAAATTTCACTCACAAGGCTTGGGTCACCTATAGTACTTTTCAATGGTGCCACATGCTAGGATTGTCTCCTATCTAGAAGTGACCTCCTTGACAACTCTACCTTGAATTCAAACATAGGTCTCATAGTTGGAATGCTAAGCCAGGCCTCCATAAACATAGAGAGTGGAATATGAACAATCTTCCCCATGGATTGAATAAAGAGTCCAGTTCAAAATTTCAAAACGGTTATTAGGTACAATAGACACCTGATGAAGGCCAAAGAGTGTAATGGCTGACATATGAACAACCAAGATGAAATGAATCATCTGAATACAAATATATACAATAAAAAAATTATAGTAAAAAAAAAAAAAAAGAAGAAAATAGTAATTAACAGTAAATTTTCAACACTAATACATCTAATACTCCTAGTAGCACTTAAATATTTCAAATAACTTCAACAAAATCTGTCTATATCTCTGAGATGAGATGTTATGATTAATTGCATTATTTACATTATTCAGACTGTTAGCCTCATCTTTCGGCTGTTGTACACCTTGGCCTTCTTCAGGTGATTGGAATTTCGAACCAAGTCCTTTATTTCCTCCACCAGGGTAGATTGATCTAGTTCTATGTGCCATGCCTCTTCTAGATGCCTCAGTTATTTCCCTTTAACTCAAGCTTAAAGGACTTATTTTGAAATTCCCACAACCTGAAGAAGGTCGAAGTGTACAACTGACAAAACGTTGTAATTATGGCAATGAAGATGAGGATAACAGTCCGAATAATGTAAATAATGCAAGTAACTTAAACAAATGATTTAAATATATTTTTAAAAATTTATATTGTTTTAAAATATTTATATTGCAAGATTTCAATCACTGCCAAGGTTAATAACATGAGTAAAAGCTCTTTCCTGTCACAGACTAAGCAGGTAAAATAGTTTTAATAGAGTTCATTCAATAATTTCTTTCTCTGTCAGCCACTGTGGTATGCCAAGTAGAAAGTTTGTCTACATGTCAGGCAATGAAAGAATGCAGGAAGAAGTGGACTCATGCCTTCAGCAACAAAAGTGTAAAGTAAACAAACTCAGTTTCAGTAAAGAATTTATACCATTTGTGGGAATAATTTCTTCACAAATAACAATAGCAAAACCAATTTAAATAGAGAGTAAATCCATTTTAATTTATTTTCTATAAAAGGTCCTCTGATAGAAAATATTCCACATGATCTTCCACTTGTATTTAATATCTTCATAAAATGTTTCCAAGAAGAAAACACTGTATCTCACATGATCTTCTGTTTGTATTTAAAGGTCTGTCTCCATTCCCCAACAAAATTGTATATCATTTTCATGAGAATCATATTGTATATATTATTTAGAAAAATATAATGAATTGACAGTAATTTATGAAAAATATTGTGTATTTTAAAAATCATCTTTATTTTTCATTTATATTTTTGAATGATGATATAATGATCACAAATTTGTAGAATGAAAAATTCTATTTTCATATATTTTCAGTTTTTCTTTGATGATGTTACTTCATTTCAAAAGGGACATTTATTTAAAAAAAAAAAAAAAATGTAAATCGTAGGTACATATATGAGAATGCTCGACTTTCTTGTGTTTGATATAAAATTCACTTCTGTTTTAATAGACTCTTTTTAGCTTTAATAAATTCTAAGCTGTAGACGGAAGGTCTCATTAAATAATTGGGGACTTCCACAGGCAAACATAAGTTACCTCCCCCAGTGTTAATATAAGCATCTGAATGGCCAGAGGCCAGATATATTTTTCTATTTGTATCTTGTTGGTACAAGAATAAATTAATTGAGAATTACTATTGCGGTTATTTTACATGATGCTGTGAACAAGATCTGGTGACTACATGGAACTATCTTAAGAAAATAAGACATGGCATTTGCACCAGGTGAAAACATTGATTTGATTGCTCAACTCATGCAACAAATGATGGCGCTACTAATGGAAACTATCACGCTTTGTTGGGGACGGAACCCCTAACGCGATGCAAATTTCTAACACACAAAAACAGACCATACTGTCATTGAACACACGCCAACATTTGTGGACTAGAAAAAATGGAAACGGATTCAGCGGGCACAATACAAAATAGAACACCAATATCGTGCGA